GTTTCCCTATCCCGGCATAGGGAATATGTCAGTACATCTGTGCAGACCTTTGGGGGAGACGTGAGCTCGCGTGCCTTGTGCCCTGCAGCCGTTCGGAGCTCGCTGTGCCTGCACTGAGAGCCTGCTGAATGCAAATCCCAGGTAACGCCCCACCGTACCCGTTACACGAGGCCGTCACAGTATGTGCTGCACATCTCTTGTAAGGCAGCAGTAAGTACTGAGACATAGCAGTACTGATTCTAGATATGGAGGTGTTGTCTGCCCAGCTGCCTGAACTGTGCACTTACATTTTCTGTAATTCTGAACTGTGTCTATACGGAGAGTACGGAAAGTAAAGGGAAGGTACAAAGTTAGAGAAAAACCTGGAATCTAATGATAGTCCTCAGGTGAGCAGTGTTCACTTTTACTCCATGCATTATGGAAATAATAAATGTCAACATATAACAGGTTTTCCCCAAGGTCTCCATTTTTTTCAGGTACAGCATCAACTAAGCTCATTTCAGGGCAGTTATGCAATATTTCTCTTTATCCTTTTCACTCATTGCTTGGCCCTGTGAATATACTGCATATCATTCAGACCTTGATCATCAGGAAAAAGGCTCAGCCTTTCAAAGTGACTTATTTCTGCGCTGTCCATGTGCTTCATTAACCTCAGTTGTTTTATTTTCAATGCATGGCATGACCACATGTTACCGATGTAAAGAGATACATAGTGAAACTAAAATGAGAGGCTGTCAGTTGTTTGGGGATTGTTAATTTGAAGTTGGTAGACCTGGATTTTTATACTGTATTTTTTTTTTTTTAACTTGTTCCACACATGGATTTCATTCACCTTGGTTGCAACAGTGAACACTCAGTAATTTTGTAGTTCACTTTGGACATCCATTAAATAAGGACTACCCAGTTAATGAACATTTGAGAAAGGGTTGGTATAAGTGATTTATGGACATAATGTCACATAGAGTCTTTATAGCAGAGACATAGACAAAGAATCTAATTCTCCAGAGCAGTACTCTGTTGTCTTCACTACAGCACATCCCCCTTCTTCCTTCTTTATCCTTCTTCATTCATTACATGAGCTACAATCAGGGCAACAAAAGAGGCAAGAGATCCTCCAGACAACAGGATCCTCTGTTTGACTAGCTCGATTCATCTCCCTGGGCAGAAAGATGGATAGTCATGTGAATGAAGATTGTGTCCTAGACCTACACACAAGAAAGCCAGATTAAGATTACCCAGGCAGATTTAATATCTGTGTATTGCTAGCTTTTGGGAGCGGGAGTTTGCAAAACAGCGCTTTCCATTTTTAGTAAAAAAATGTTCTTGTTTATTTGGTTTTGTGGAATTGTGTTTCTACCAACATGTTAGTTATCAGCAGGACACGGCTGAGACCACTGCTTGTGAGCCAATGGTGTGAGTCACGAAAGCTGTGAAGTGAGGCATGGGAAAACCTCAAAATGGGGATCAGGCCACGGACAACTCTGCTGGTCCCCTTCTCACTCAGAAAATGGAAAGTGAAGAGACTCACAGTCTCTCACTGCCATGCCTCATTTCTACTCGGAGAAAGCAGGCAGTGCCATGGAGTCGAGGCTCGTTTACTTTGCCTTCCCTTTGGGAACTGAGCTGCATCGCACGGGCTCACCGAGCAGCCCCTCCTTCCTAGCCAGCGGGCGCTGTCTCTGTACAGCAGTCAGGGCAGTAGCTGTGCTGCTGTACTCTGAGCTCAACTTTGCATCCTTCTCATTTGCCCATATAGTTGCTAATGTAGTGCTGGGCCTAGCACATACAGCGAGCGGCTGTAATGAGTGTGCAAAAATGTAAGCACAGTAGATAAAAAGGTTCTTTTGGATTTTTTAAATATTAGGGTATAATAAACAAAGGTTTTGTGCTTTAATTTTAATCTTGTTTTGACATGGAAACATTTTTAAATATGAGATGAAAAGAGTAAGAAGGAACACTTAGTTCCATCTTTTAAAGTAGGAGCTAATAGAAGACTATAAAACATTTTCAGTCCCCAAATTTATGAATGCCTACTACCAAATTGACTTAATTATCATTAACCAAAGGATTTTCCGGGTACAAAGTTTATAAAGTGTGAACAGGTTGTTCTCTGGTACAGGTCCTTTCCTCTGGAATTTAGTCATGCCAGAAGCCTATCAAGCCCTGCCTCATTTCAGAAAAAACCTACTCCTTTCATCCCAACCTTTCACCAGCTGCTGGCTCCAGAGCCCTTAGTTTGCAGCTTACTGGCAGTATTTTCTCTGCCTCTGTCCTTCAGAATTTCATTGTTCTGCAAAATCATGCTACATGCATTCCATGTACTTGGAAAATGTTACAACTTCTAATCTAAGACAGACATTGCAAGTTCAGCCCTCTCAGAAATAATTTATAATGCCTTTGTTGCCATAAGCCAGATGGGTGACACGTGGATTTGCGAGTGGTATCTACAAGAGCCCATCTATACCCACTAGAAGCTTTCATGTGAACAACTTCCCCTGGGGTACAGTTTATATATGACTAAGACTGGGTGTGACTTAGACTAATAAACAATTTTTGTACCTCAACAAATTGTCCAACAATGAATGAGTACTGCAGTCTGATGCTGAATGTCAAATGGTCACTAGCTGTTTGGGCAAGAATATGAAGAACTGATCTGTAATATCAACTGCCTGGCTTTGAAATGTTGACATGTCTAGGCTTGTGACAAAAATAAAACGGTTAGTCCATTTTAGTCCATAGTTTTTCAAGCTACCAAAAATCTACTGGTGGTTCCTAAATTCATTTCCCTATTTGCCGCATCCTTGATCAGTTGTAGATGGTTTTGCCATTTCAGAAACCTGAAATTGAAATATTAATGGTCATCACAAATTAAATGTCACTGATTCTCTGAGTGTGTAACGCAAAAGAAGCTATACTGATTCTATTATTCCATTCAGTAAATAAAATTACTTCCTCCTTTGTGTTTAAACATTAGCCATAAGTTCTGATGGAATTCCTAGATTGATGTCGTCTAGTGCAACAAAACCAAAGGATTCTTCAATCTAATTCAACTTTTATAGAATATGTGAACAATTGCTTATGAAACATGTTTCTCATAAAGTATTTGCCACTTTCTATGTTGAAGCACTGCCAAATGTCATGGTCTTTAGAGGAGACTTGTTTTCTTTGAAGAAAATAATATCACCTATGGTCAGAATTGTATTTGTTTTTCTAACTAGGTACACAGGACCTCCAGAGTGATGTGCTCTCTGCTCCTCAAGCAGCTCTGGGGTTTCTCGCTTCAGAGTACAATTTTTCTTTGTCCCTTTCCACTAGGACTCACTGTCCAAGAAATAATCTGACTGCTGCGGAGCTGGTGTATGCCAACAGGAAAGGCTATTGCTCATCTAAGTGCTATGCAATCAGCTGCAACAATACATTGTGCAAAAACAGAAATGGAAGGAAATAGCAGATTCTACATGTGCTGATCCAGTTTCCTCGCTTTTGTTTATGCTTAAGAAGACCGTGGATTTTCAGTTGACCTATGCTACTTACAGCTTTTTGAGAGCTTCCAATCTTGATAAAGAGCCCGTCTCCCAAAAAGCTTTCTCTGTGCAGTTTTTTCCTTACCAAGTGGTGAACCTTGGAGATGTAACCAGCTGTATCTTATTCAGTATGACAGCAATGAAACCATTTAAGACACTGACGCAAATAAAACGTGATCTTAGTGTTATTCCTGAGCACAAATGCTCACAACAACTCCAGAGACCAAGGTCTTACTTGATCACATGTAAAACGAACACAGCCCCTTCATGTATTTATGAGTATTTGATTACTATTATTAGTATTACTAACTATAGTAATGAAATCATTATCTGCCTTGCCTCTGTCCTGTCTCAAACTTAAGGTAGCTAATGGCTACACAGCTACTGCTTCTGGTTATCAGTCAGTGTTTGGTTGCTTCTCTGAAAAGCACCTTGGTTGCTCTGCTTTTAAAAAAAAACAAACCAAACCAAACCAAAACAAAAAAACCCAAACCAAACCTCAGAGTGCTTATTTATCCCAGGAAACCAGGAGTCAGAATTTATTGGATTGGAAATAACAGTGCAGCTGTATAGGTGTGGGTTCTTCACCTTGCTCTCCTGGCAAAACCAGGAGTTAAAAGAGTATATTCACCTCCTGTAATAACACACCCAGCCTATAGTTGAATGAAATGGACTGTTTTGTTGGAGTATTTTTAAAGTGAAAAAAAAAAAAAAGTAATTGCATGCTATATTAGTGTTCTGAGATTGCTGTGAGAAGAATAATCTCACTGTTTCAGCTCATGTTTCCTTTTTTTTTTTTTCTTGTCTCTGATTTCGAATTTAGTATTTGCTTCACTTTAGGATATAGAAGTTACCATAATGATATCATAACACTAGTTACTTGTTAAGCTCTACAGAACTTTTATTCATTAATTGTACAATGACCAGAACAGCCATGTCCTTGTGCCTAATTGGGGCCGTTACGTATTGCTAAAAAACCCTCTTTCCCTGTATAATTTGTCTCTTCCCTTTCCCCAGCTTAATTTCTATATTATCTATGAATGGCATATTTTGTCTTTAGAGTATTTTTTCACACTAAATTTTAAAATTTGAATAAATAGTTATTAAATGCGACTGAGATAAATGCAGATGATTCTATTTAGCTTGCAATTACTAACACCTTATAGTGTTAATAAAACCATAAAAGAATTTATACTGGGTGAGGTTCTTCTCCAGAAATTCTGTATTTCTTGCTACTTAAATTAGGTTGAACCTGTAAAGACCAGCTGAGTGACTCCTTGTTTATACCACTGGGAAGGAGAGGGGAATATAATGCATAGCATTTTTTTTTTTTTAAGGTTGTGATGTATAAAACGTTTGCCAGACACTATTACCCTGAACAGCTGCTTCTGCAGATTTTGCAGTCAATATATGCATAAAAGTGATTCCTTCTTGACCTTTTTTGACCACTCACTTTTTTTGTTTGTTTGTTTTCAGGTGTGGGTAGATGCTGGTACACAGATATTTTTCTCTTATGCGATCTGTTTGGGGTGCCTGACAGCCCTGGGAAGTTACAACAACTATAACAATAACTGCTACAGGTAATATCTTCCACACTCTATTTTTACATTTAGTTTCAGTGATGGAAGTGTCCACATACGTAGCTTCACTCAGAAGTAGTTCCCTTTTCCTTTAGCTATTTGCATGAGTGATCATAAGCTTATTCATGTGTTTTTGTAGAACAGAGATCTATAATGTTTCTTATAATTGTTTCAGAGGAACTCGTTTACAAAATTTGGTGTTTTCATTCCTTTTGATCATATCTGACCCTTGCACAGCCACAAGCCTCTCAGTACACACAGGTATACAAAATTGCATGTATAATATACAGAATTTCATACACGTATAATTGTGTGTGTGTGCGATATTTGATTGTATAATGTGTACCTGTTTTAAAAAAAAATCCTACCAAAAAAATCATTATTAAAACTCACTTGAGTTTGGTCTATGATCCGAATGTCACATTTTCCATAGTTTACTGGCTCCTAGCCAGAGCACAGTGGAAATGGATAGCATTTCATTGCTTATCTTTATAGAAATCAGTAAGAAAATTGCTAATGACATTAGTAGGTTTGAATCTTTCCTAAATCAATGCCAAAAGGATATGACTCGCACAAGAACCTCATTCCATTTTACTGGCACGGGCGGGAATATGACTACTTTTTCCTTCTGACACCAGTAGTTACTGAATTAGTTTTCCTACTATTCAACAGCCTTTAATACAAGACAGTAAATGGCAGTTTGATTGTACTGACTCCAATATGATTCCCAGAGAGAGAATTAAAATTTCATTTTCCTATAAAGGAAGTAATACAATCCAAAAGCAAAAGCAAAGGAAACCCAAACACACCACCCCTAAAGTCCCAAAAGTGTAAGTATTTAAATTCTAAATTACAGTTTTGCTTGAAGAGCTCAGGAGACAGATTTAGGAAATGTCACCGCCTTTCAGGGTCTGAGCCACAATTTGCTCTTCTGTCAGAGAAACACCAAATGGTAGGACCCTCCAGACAGAGAGGGAATTGGGATACTGGAAACCACAGAGACACGGTTGTATCCACCAGCTGAATGCCTGCAAAGCTATCCAGCAGCAGTTAAAGGTACTTTGCAATCTAAACATGCAAAGTAACTTAGCAGCAACACCAGTTACTCCTTGTTTGGCTATGACAGATAACATACCAAAAGTTTTGCTGCATAAAGTAGCGTAAGTCCCCTACAGTCTTGAGTGCAGATGGACATTATTTTCAGAATGATGATAAAGATGCCCTGAGAGAGGGCAATGAATGCCCCTACAGAGCAGTGAGTAATGGCAGTTTTCCCTAATTATCAAAGGCGCTACTTCATTTCTTTCTTATTTAAATTTATTTTTATTTTTTTCCAGTTGCATCCAATCTAGAAACTGTTCTGTCACTGCATCGAGGACTGCAGTAATCTTTTCACTGTGGTTTTGCAACTCATTACAAAAAGCAGGAGTTTTGATGTGTGATCAGAGAGTTTATGTAATTTACCTTCCTTTCCTCTGACCTTAGTGGCATAGCTTGTAAAAAACATCAGCAGCTCTCTTTTAAAGGTCCTGAGCAAGATGCTTCAACAGAATACTTTTTACTGGATCCAAGATTCACAATTCCTCTGACAAAATGTTTTAATAAATTTCCTGAATAGGGCAGATTTTATTGTGTCCTGAAGTATGACACTTAAGAATTCTAAGGAAAGGAGTAGGACAGAAGTTAACTGAATAAAGCAGCTGAGTTAAACAGGGCTGTTAACGGAGCAGGGCACGCAAAGCTCTTATGCAGTGGAAAGCAGAATTAAATTTGTATTCTATCTGGTACTTAAAAATATTAAAATCAAACTATGGATTTGTCTTTTGCAATACCTGCCGTGAGTTGTCTGATGGTAACACCTATGTCTACTCTTTTTGGACTCTGTTTTACTAGATTTTTTTTTTTTTCTAAGGGACAATTGCAGTGGAAAGTAAAGACATGAGGTATTTTGGTGAGAAATGGGAAAATCCAAACTGCACATGGGTTTTCTTATTAGCAACCTGATCTAATTCATTAACATTGTAAATGAATTGCAAACAAGTTACTTCACATTTTTGAATAGGAAATGAATATTTATTGTCCTTACTTATCTTTCATTGTAATGCATTAATACAGATCCTCCCTGGATTTACAACAGTTTATATCAGAAGTGACTTCTATGAAAAGACAAAAGTAATGGCAGTACCATCAGCAGGCAATGTTTTCCCCATATAAATAAAGAAAGGTGTACTGACATTTCCTGTAATTTTTAGCAAGCTAAGAATTTCTAATCCATTCAGACCTTCCCTTCTTAAAGGACGGATTAACTTCAGACGACCTCGCCAGACAGAAGTGGAAGCTGTTCTTTTTGCTGCTTCACGCGCCCCGTGCTCGCAGCGCTGGCCCAGCTCCCCGCTGGACGCTGTGCAGTTCCCTACCAGGGGAAATGCCGCCTGGCTTCCCAGCACCACTCCTTTGTACTGGAGCCTGCACATCAGCAGGACAATTTATATGTATGAGCTCCGTGTACAAATCAGGGGTTAGCTGCCACGTTGCCACTGTGGTGCAGAAGATAAATGAGGGATTTCACACACTGTCAACAAACGGACAAAACTTTTAAGAAATTAAGATGTGTCCTTTATCAAGCTTCTAGTCTAAGAGGAAAAGCAGAATGGGGCTTGGTCTGGAGAGGATTCATAAGTAATGGAACTAAGCAAGGAAGTAACTGGAGGGATGCAAAAGACTCTGTGGGCTCTTCTCTCTAATCAGAGAAGCTCTTTAAGGAAGGCAGAAACAATTTGCAACAGTATCCTGACTGCCAGGCAGGGAGACAATAAGGGATGCATGTCTTGAATTTTTCAGGTGATTGGCAAGACATTAATTTGGAAGAATGCGAAATTTTCATAAAAATTTGAAGTTTTCCTTTAATTTGAAATCCGTTTGGGCTTCAGTCAGACAGATGCCTTCCTATCAAGGTTACTTATAAAAAATAGATGGTAAATTAGATAAACTTCATGTGCTCTTTCCAATGGTTTTTGGGCATTTGTGTTTTAAAATTATTTTCTTTCACCGTCAGTGAATCCAGATCCCCCTCTCAGTTTTCCTTTCTGTAGCACAAAAAAAAAGACTGAACTACAGGTTACACATTTCTCTCTAAGAGAAAAAAAAAACAAACCAAACCAAAACAAACAGGAAATGAGGGGTTAGTAGAATTCCTGAAAAGATAAAGGAAGGATGGAAATGAAAATCGGAGGTTATATTTTTAATAGGACAGGAAACACTGCTAGGTCCCCCGGGAACTGAGTGTTCAGTCTGTGACTGTCTAACTAGGGAAGAAAATGATGGAGCTGTGTCTGTGTTATATCAAAATAATAGGTACCTCACTAACTGGAGATGATGAAAATCCCCTTAGGTTCACTTTTGCCCATTTCCTTAGAGAAATGCACATCTACCCTGTAACTATTTTGTACCATGGCACTGTGGTTCCTGGGTCTTCCCTGTGAGTGCAGAAATGTCGGTGCTCCTCGTGTTCTCTCACAGATGATCTAGTTATAGAGGATTGTCCAGCTTAAACCACTTGGGCCTTGCCCTAGGACCTTCCTTCAAGAGGAAGCAGCAGAAACTGCCAGGGCCTCTGAAGGTGCACAGGGAGCAATGGGTCTCCACCTCAACCCTTTTTCTTATGGTTAAGAACCAGCAGCTCTCAAATGTCCTGTGCCACATCATTCACCAGAAAAAAATATCTTCTTGTTTAGACTGCATTTGAAGCCTGGGAATTATCTAAAAGAACTCTTATCTGCAGAAAACAGGCTGTTCCAAATGGAGGCGTCCTATCACTGGTGAGCAGCCAGATCCATCCCGCTGAAGTAGTATCTCTCTTTCTTCCACCAAAGGATTAAAAAATACATCTTTTTGACATCTCTTATCGACAGAGTTTTACCACACTTAGTTTTAATTTCTCAGCATTGAACTCACCGGTTTCTTAAGTGAGAGAGGCTGGGGTGGGAATCTTTCCCAGGTGACTTCAGTGCTGAAATACACTGAGATGAATGGTTAGGAAGATGATATTTTTCTTTGTTTTATTTCTCTGCAAAGCACAAAGAACTCTGTGCCCGTGGTTGCTCTCTTTTAGGTTGCTATCTTGCATTAAAACTTCCGAAGTGTATAACTAGCTTGGCTGTGCACTACTACAGGAAGCAATTTCATATGAAAAGCAAATAAATGACAGGTTAGAATTCTGATCATTTTCAGATTTTTCAGAAAGTATTTTAAAGGAGCTTTTTCCCCATGCTAATGAACAAACAGTGTTAGAAAGAGTCCATGCATGTGAAAATTGTGAGCATCACTGCACATCTCCATGTCTGGGTCTTGATCTACAACCGGGAGTATTCATTCTTTCTCATTTCTGGACAAATTTTGACAACTTACAGATGATATTCCAGATAAAATATTTTTACTATGAATGACTATGAAAACATAAAAACAATCTCAAAATAATGGTTAAAATTATCTGTAGATAAGGTGTTGAGAGAGAGCCATAGCCTCCCATGGCCCAGTGGCCATAGTTCAGCTGATCACTCACTTTGCACGCCTGCCTCCTGCCATTTAGAATGTCTGTGCCTGGTGCTAAGGTGAGACAAAATTAGTAACAGAAAGAGCTTTGAACAGATGCAGGATGCAGTGCAGGGCTCATTAGTGAAGGAAGAAGATGCTGGAACTGGTCACCTCACTTTCAACTTAATAAACCGATGAGATGAAGTTACAGGATAAAACCAGCAAATGAAACAAGCAACAGGACAGAGATCAACAATGAAGTTTTGCCAGAATACATGCCAAAACTTCAAAAATATGAATTGTCTCTCATTCTCAAAAATCTGTGACAAAGGTAGGAATCACTACTGAAGATGTGGATTCAGAATCTGTTAGGTTTTACAGGATCATTTCTTCTAGATAGATTGCACAAACATTTGCTTCAGAGCTGTAGTAGGATGCGAATAAACCAGACTAAGGTATAGGCTTGACAGAGCTACAGGCTTGCCTTGTGCTTTATGTTTTAGAATCCTAATTTACTTTCAGGCATCTAGGTTAGATTATTACTTTCTCAAGTTTGCAGGTGTCTCTCGTAGCGAGCAGTCTGAAAAGACTGACTGTCATGATAAATCATTCCTACCTCATCATCTCTCAAGCCTGAAGTGCTGTCTGCAAGCAGGAGGAACAATGATACTTCACTGAGCTCTGAGGAAAGATCACACCTTTCTACAGGAGTATTTTCCCTTTTTTTAAAGTGATTTACTATTGTGACGTTTCCAGTTTGGTAAACGAAATCTTTCTTCACCTTGGCCTTGTAATTGTCATTGTTTGATTGATGTGTAGGATACATCGGGCTGAGAGATCAGTGTCCCTGCATTGTCTTTGACCACTCATTAGGCATTTTTTAGGCACATACACACTTAGATGATGTGTGGTGGTTTTCATTAACATGGCTTCTTAAAAAAAGTTAATAAAGCAAACTGGAGTTGTATTTCATATGGATATATATTGCCAATATTCTGTAACTGGAATAGAATTAGCTAAGATCTGACCATAGGATTTTTCCTCCAGGAAACAAATAGCTACCATTTTTCTATAGGTTATAAGTGAGTTCATATCCTCTGGAATACACTATTGCAACTACTAAGAAAAACTCTTAACACCATTCTTACAGTATTTTTTACACGGTTTTTAAAGTTTCTATGAAAAACAGTAAGCAAGTAGCCACAGGTTTACAATTCAACCAGTTAAAACACAAGTGAGGGTATTATGCTGGTATCTTCCTGCAAATGTTTATGCCTGACTGATTTCTCTCAGGCATAATATCAGCTGCGAGCTCACTCTTAATGAGCAACTCAATGTCCATTCCTGCAGCTTGGGGTTCTATTAGTCCTATGGTTCAGTGTCTGAAAGAAATCCAGGCTCTGGAGATCAACTGCAGTGTTTTTTATTTATATTTTCAGAGACTGCATCATGCTCTGCTGCTTGAACAGTGGCACAAGCTTTGTTGCTGGTTTTGCTATCTTTTCAGTTCTTGGATTTATGGCTTACGAACAAGGCGTGCCCATTGCAGAAGTTGCAGAATCAGGTAAGTTCCAAAAGCAGTTTTCTGAGTTAACAAAAATTGCCCAGAAGTTACTGTCAGAATACTTTGTCTGTGCCATGTCTTATGGATAAATCGACTGTTTTGCAGATAGTTTTACAAAACTCCTCTTAAAAACCTGTTACCCGAATCATGGGAATAACTGCTGTAAGAAGAGCTCTTAACTATTTTTATGGTCATAAATTTATGTGTGAAAAATATTGATGTTACTGTGCATAGCACTAAACACATAAAGTCAAGGAGCAAATGTAACACAAACTTACTCTAGCTGAACATCCAGAAGATTGTTTAGTTATGCCCCTGGAGTGTTATATCCTCATGAATGGAGCATTCCATTTTCTTCAAATGAGGCAGACCAAAATCCACAGAAACATTTGTTCCTTCTGGGGGAAAAAAAAAAAATCTACTAAAGTAATGAGAAACCAGTTCTTTAGGATGAATCTTTGGAAGCCCTCTGAATTCTTGCTTAATGTATATTATCCAAATACATATTTCTAAGAGTCACATGGCTAATGCCATCTCCTAATGTCAGTAATTTATTCTCCCAGGGACATGCACTGAGACACTCTGGTTGATTAAGTATAGAAGTTCTTGTTTTGAGTCCAGAAAGGCACAAAGGCCCAGCTCTATGGGAAATTAACCACCTAACATTCATTGCCATCACTTGGAGTTAGGCATCCAGTGAAAGTTAATTGCTCTTTAACACTTTTGTGGATGTAGCATCTTTAAACATCACTTAAAACTCAACAGAATAAAAAGAACAGGAGTGCTGTCCAGAAAGAAAAGCAGTATAATGTTGAACTGTAGAGAAGGAGAAATGACTTTTATGAACTTGGTCAAGGTTAGCAAGAAAACTGCAAAGCAAGTAGAGCTTCGCAGATACTGTCATGGAAAATACTTCTCTTTTCCTAAAGTCCCCAAGACAAGTGGATTATACTATTATAGAAAAAGCTTAAAAGACTACAGCAACTCTGTAAACTATAGGAGCTTGTAAATACTGCATTAAATGAACAAGCAGTAGTGTGTTGACAGGTCTTCACTGAAGTTGTTGCAGCAGGAGTACAGAGGTACTCCTTTATTAGCCTTCTGATACTGCCTTACTGTCCTGCCTTGCTTTAAAAGCTGGGTAATTTCTATAAAAGCTATTATATCAGGAGAGTTTGCAGCAGCTGAAAAGCAGGCGCAGAAAAATATGAGCTAGGTGAGATGGTATTTTAGCAGATCTGAGAAGTTACCAATTGCTGTTGCAAAAATGTTATATTTTCAATACTTCTGTAAATAGGCAGCCAGTGAATTAATGTTATGTACCAACGGCAGCACTCAAAAATGCGGAGCGGGTTCTGAACAAACCAGTAGACATTTGGCTTGCACCATGTATGGTTTCCAAGATGCAGCTCTTACCATTGACTGAATTCTTGAACAAAATGTCAGATACAGTGCTGTTTTAGGAGAAAAAAAAAAAAATCCAGAATATGTTAATAAGTTATATAAGGCAATCACAGGACCACATGCTATTATTTATTCAGGTATGTAAGTCTTGCTGTACGTCCACATAAAGAAGAAGGAGAACGTAAATTACAGTGATGTCTTCACAAAAGTTTTGACCTTCAAACATTTGGATGGGCAGTTGATGTGCCAAGCAAGTGTCCATGACTGATTGGCTTCATCACCAAATATTTAGACTATTAGAGACGTAGAGTTTGTCAGGGTTTTCAATCTTCTTTCTAGGTCCTCTTAGTTGCCATAAAAGAACAATTAAGTTGTGGTGGGTCAATCCTCGCCAGCAGCTAAGCATCCATGCTGCTGTTCTCTCACTCACCCGCCCCAGTGGGATGGGGAAGGGAACAGGAGGGGAAAAAATGTGAAAAAAATGGTGGGTCCGGATGAAGACAGGTTAATATGTAATGCTGTGCAAGCACTGTTCAGCAACAGCCACAACACTGGTGTTAGCAATGTTGTTCTATCCACAAATCCGAACCACAGCCCTGTACTGGCTGTTATGAAGAAAGTTAACTCCATCTCAGCCAGACCCAGCACACAAGTACAAACTATTTACTTTCTTCCTTTTCAGGACCAGGACTTGCATTCATTGCTTACCCTAAAGCTGTTACCATGATGCCTCTTTCTCCTCTGTGGGCGACTCTGTTCTTCATGATGCTCATATTCCTTGGATTAGATAGTCAGGTATGAAACAACCACTATTTAAATATTTTGTCAGAATCCCTAGCATGTGTATGTCAGCATCCTTGATGTAAACAGCATGTAACCTCATGGAAGAATGAACCTTAACTAAATTCCTTGCTTAAAACTGTTGATTTGAATTCCTTATTTTAAATCTTAGTTCTGTGATGCTGGAGATGTCTTTGATGAAGAATGTAAAGTCGCTGGCTTTTTTAGCATGCAGCACAGCTCCCGGCACGATTTGGTTCAGAAAGTTTATGATTGTATACTGTAGGATAAAGCTCTTCAGTGCTTATTTTGCATGATACTTCCAATCACTAAACTTAATGTTTTAATAACTGCTCTTTTTCCTGATCTAACTTTTTGTTTTGTTTCAAAAAAGTCTTTTATAAAATGAGTAGTTCCCAAATTTTACTCTTGACTGGTCTAATGAAGCAGGCTTTCTATTGTCTACTTTTGGGCATTAATTTTGGTGCCTATTTTAGAAACCTTGCTCCAGAGCCCTGAGTCAGAAGCTCAGGCCTTTTGCTTTCTGCTGATTTTTAAAGTTAGTAAGAATGTTCCTTTCCTCATTCATCAGATGTATTTGACTTGGGCACGTAATAGCTTTGTGGAACTTCTCTCTTCCGTAAAATGGAGAGGCCCTCTCCAAAAATCCTTAATTCAGCAGTGCTTGAAGGTGAATAGCATTGCATATCATTCCTTTGAGTGACAAAAGTTCAGGATGCCTAGCGGGAAATTCTGTTGCAATCCTTTGAGTGACCTGTACATTATTTAAGTCCCATTCAAGCCACGTTTGAAAGATTTAATTTTTGTGTAATCCGTCTGCTACAGGGCAAATGCATTCTGAGATAATATTAGTGGATTCAACTATCTGAATTTGGTGATGGACTGCAAATCCATAGCTTTGGATTTTTTAATTCTGAAATTATGTTCCTCTCAATTTGAGCTTCTGCTTATAGAGTGTCCTCAGGGATCATTCAGTCTCTATGGTGAGAACATAGAAATGTATTTGAAGTGGTTGGTAGCCAATACAAATCCCAACAGCAGATGAGACACATATTTCATTTGTACTTTCTTATCATTTGTTCTAGTTCGTGTGTGTTGAAAGCCTTGTGACAGCTGTTGTAGATATGTACCCAAAGATTTTCCGAAGGGGCTACAGGAGAGAGCTGTTGATTCTCGGCCTTTCCATTGTGTCATACTTTGTTGGCCTAATAATGTTAACTGAGGTAAGATGTGCTTTGTTGTACTAGTGCAGAAAAAATGAAATGGGATTTTGTTTATAATCATAACAGATAAAATGCAAGAACATTTGCCATAGACAAACTTCACCATGACTACAAAATACTTGAGAGACTGTTCTGAACTAGTGTGTAATATTTTAAATATGAGATGTATCCTCAGTTTTTTCTGTTGAGATTAGGAAATAGTTTAATCAAAGTTACGTAGCCAAGGAAATTTCATCTGCTTTGAACCAGCCAAGCAGGTACACTGAACATGGTTTCTGCTTACTTTGGACAGACCAGTGTGAAAACAACTCCATTTTGCATGAATACATCAGTAAAGAAGATGAAGTAAAGTGAAAATAGAGAACTAAAACATCTTTGATTTTTATATCACCAGCCCAGGTCAATCAAATACAGCCAATCTCTAAGCAGAAATTGCTTTAGTAAGAGTGAAAAAAAAAAAAAAAGTTATTGTTTTGGTTTGGTTTGGTTTGGTTTTGGGTTTTTTTTTTTTTTTTTTCAAACAAACCAGGCTGTTTGCTTTGGGATGTTCTAGAATTCTGAGGGTGTCAGTCTATGCCATCAGTTCATATTGCAGCATCTGCCACTACTGTGTTTGTTACTCAGGTTGGGGAGAAACTCTGGGATCCTTTGGTACTTGGTAGGAGTTTAGTGCTTGCTTTACAGAATGAGTTGTATCAACAGTCTTTCTCTCCATCACTTTACTCACTCAAGACAGGAAGGGGGGGCAGAATCCACACTCTCCTCTGCCTATATTCTTCTGCTTGCTGGGCCATTAGAGCCTCCCTGTAGCAGAGAGCAAGGCAAAGAAAAAAGTTTCATGTCTGAGGTGCTGTAGAATTAAACGTCTGAGGAAAGTTTGTCCGAGGAAAGCTGGCTGTACTAACCAGGAAGGGCCATCCGTTGTGCAGCAATCTCAGGCAGGGTCTCAAGGTGAAGCAGCCTCCCAGGGCTTCATGAACGCATCCGGGGTCACTTAAATTAACTACACAGTACTTATACTATGTGCTTTTCAAATTGCTTTGTTACTGAAAACTATAAAATTTCACCCCAAAAAAGTGTTAGCCAATTGTAAGCAAGCTAGCCTGTTGTACTCATCATGCAAGCTCTTAGAACAAATAGAGTAAATCATCTAATCAGAATATATTAGCTTTAGATACACTTTCAAAGAAAGAATAACTGAAGATGTTGAGGAAAGTGGAGAGTAGAACAAAATGAAACTTTTATTATTTTTTACAGTGATAGTTTGTGGCCAGACTAATCGGATATCTTTCTCTGATAAGAGATACGGCACTCCGTGTGAAGCAAATGTAGTTGAGCAGAAGTTTTATATACTTCAGTGAAGGAACTGAAAATTCACCACAGGAAAAATTATTAATTTTATTCAAAATAAAAGGACTTGTACACGTAACTGGACAAAAAAAAGATGATGACTATTGATGATAAAGAGATTCTTAGTGAAGTTACACAGACAGCTCTTAGTAGCAATTTTATCTAGTATCCGTAGTTGACTTGCTATGGAACCAAGTCACATATAGTCATTGGATACATAAGACTAGCTCTCTGTCAATGTATTCCTTCTTCAGTTTTGATTTTGAACCTACTGGCAGATTTCAGTCAGTTTGATGGAAGTTTCAAAGATACATCCTTTTTCATGAAAGTTCAAAGTCCATGAACGTTAGCAGCCAGCTAGAGAAGTCCTAGAAGTATCCTTATTGTTCAAAAGAACTAAGCATGAGTTCAGTCTTTATTAAAACAACAGAGAATTCACAAAAAAAGCTATAGCCTAATGAGTGCATGAAGTATAAGTGCTCACAGTCATCTGCAAGATTTAAGTCCAAATAAGGTTTCATTAGCTCTGATGTTCCTGGGTCACAGAAGAAGACATAACGATAGGGAAGAACTGGGTGACTGGTGTATTAAAGGTGGGGTAGACTAAAGAAGCACAAGGTATAAGGTCATCCACTTTTTGACTAGGCATGGAAAACAATTAGGAAAGAGAAGTATGTGGATGTGAAACTAAGCACTACAAATATGCTCTAGACATAAAACTATGGTTATTAGATGTTTCAGGAAGGTATTTCCAGTTGAGAGTTGGGAATAGTCCCATGACTGGACAAGGTGATAGTCCCAATGAAATATTATGTATGGCTCTGGATACTTGTATTCAGACTAGAACAGCATGCAAAGCAAGAGCAGTGAGGATGATCCTAGGAGTACAGAGCTGATTTTACCAGAAACTAGCAAAATTATGATAATGTTAGCATGGGTGTATGACTGCTTTCTGTAAGTACATCATAGACGTAGCAGTGAGTATAAACATGAGCTATTTCTTCAAAAAGAGTGGCTCTCTTTCCCTCATCCCCAATCCAGGCTGTATAAGATGGCTGTGAATAATTAGGCTGAAAATTAAGAAAGGATTTCTATCCATCCGAACAGTGATGTTCTAGAAGTTTTTCCAATAAAATAGTTCTGGCTTTAAACTGGAATTCAGATTATCAGTTAGTTTATGAAAGGTATTATGTGACACAGTTCCCTGTGAGAATGGAGGAACTGACACTGGTTGATTAAGAATTCCTTCCAGTTGTGTGTCCCTGTAAGTTGACCACTGGAGCAGAGGAACCCTGTAGAGACCGATTTGCCTTTAATCATTCTTACCTTCGGTAAGATAAATTATCTTTGCTATGTAAAATGGGGAAATTTTGAAATAATTCCTCCCACAGTGCAAGTGCTAAGCAGAACACTGAGAGGTATATTATTGAGATGTACCGGCTAAAAGAAATACAACCATGACGAGTGAAGCAGAAGCAATATTCTCCAAATATTCTTGCAGCAATTTTGTGGAATTGTTTTCCTTATATTGTATTGCCTTAGTTGGTTGATCTCTAAGTTTCCAATTTGCTCAGATGTTTGCTGAACCTCACTGTGAGCTCTTTGCAGTAAAGATGTTCACTTGTGAACTTGAGATTTTGAGAAGCAGGCAGCTGGCAGAGCTGACTAAAAGTGGTGTAGCTAATAATCAAAAAAGCACCTGTATTAGGACGAAAACCCCGCCTCATTTAATTAAAAAAAAATTACCTCAACATTTGCATTCTGGTCTGGGAGGGCTGACATTCCACAGTGCTTTTACTATAACTGTTTGCTCAACAGCAACCTTAAAGGACAGGGAAACACTTTTTTCCCTGGTATCGCCAGACAGACCTAAGTTATTACTGAGAGATGTGACTTACTTACATTATCACGTAGGCAATCTAAGTAGCCGTGATCCAACGCAGAAATGGCACACTGGTGGAGAGTGCTCCATTCCATGGTACTTCAGTAAGGCATCAAAGCATTATGCATGAGGAAGACTTCCAAGGGTAAACATATATCCCAACTCTGTCCTTGTCCTCTCTCGCATTCCTAAATACACATTCCTGGATTTTATTCAGGCTTTGGATTATTATAAGAGATATTTTGCCCTATACTGAAACTTTCTTATTCAGATATATTTTCATTTCCTAACTATACAGCACTTGTTTTGCCAAATTCCTGCTTGAACATCAATGCAGTTCTATAAACAATAGAACATTCTTATGTTTTGTAAGTTTTAGACAGGATTTCAGGTTTAGAGAATCCATTTTAACTTACCTTCAGTCAGTTAATACAGAGGATAAAAGGGGAAAATCCTACGTATTGTTTTTGATTTAGTTTTCTTTATGTTTTTAGGGTTCTCTTCCATTTGCAGAAAATGGTCTGAGATGTAATGGATCATATGTACTACCCAAATAGCATTACATTTCAACTGAAGAGATGATCTCAAGCCCCTATTTCCTTCACATAGCTTTCTGCAAAGAGGGAAGTCTTAGGATTCCTTTCTATTGAAATGATCTTGTGTGAATCTTCTCCTCATTATTATTTCAATATTGAACACATATGTGATAAAAGATTATGTATCTTGCATAGAAAGTAGCATAATATTATTCATATAATTTTAATAATCATGTTATCCATAATGTTCTTAACTGGACTTCATAGGTTTTCTTCTCATCCTGCCTCGAGGCAAAGGCTCTAGAAAGCCAGCCAGTTCTCTGAACAGTTCTGGCTTGTAAGCAAGAGAAAAAATACAGGAAAAGAAGAAAAGAATCATGTCTTTGATAAATGCAACAACAGATATAGTTGAGTCATAGTCAAAGAGCAAGTAAGTGAGGACATCTTAAGCACATTTATGTTTTTCACACTCGTTGGTGTTGTGGCACCACTGAATGCAGAAAATTACAGATCATGGATAGGACAATGTGCATCGCGTATGGATGCCATGCTAACTGAGGACACCGCTTGGTTTTGGTTGCTCTGCTCTCTGGAAGTGCAGGGGTTGCTATTTTAAAGCTGTTTGGAGAAAAAAATTGAGCTTGTTAGGAAAATATTTTTAAAAGCTTGCTTGGAGTCAAGGTGATTCATATTTCATTTTTGTTTTGCTCAAATAACAATGATTTGTTTCAGTAATGTGGCTCAAAGTCTGTGAGCTACTGTCAAACTTCATAGGTCAGTTTACTCATTTTGCAGTCCCTATGCTACTGGAGAGTTATTCTAACAGCTGCAGATTTTGCCTTCTTTCCCTACATTTTAACTAATTCTTTTACATGTTAATGGCACAGACACAAAAACAAGACCCTGCATCTTCATGTGCAGTAATCTGGAGATGATAAAAGCACCTGTAGATGTCTACAGTTTGATGTGATAACAAATGAAGTTGAAAAAAAGCAGGGAGGTGGGAGAGCATTTGAAAACAAGTCAAATGTATTTATCGCCACTCCAGGATTTACTACCTTAAAGCAAATGCACTGTATTCAGCTGGCATAGGGAATAATCTTAGGTGCTATGGAAGAAAAAAAACTTTCACAATAAGAAATTGCTGAGAAATTAAAATTCCGTATTCAAGAAGGAACCAACTTTAATAGGAAGATTGCCAGGCAACCAGCAGATTGACTGTGTCATTCAAGCCATACTTGCTATGAAATATTCCTACTGGTGCCAACACAGTATTTTTTTTTCCTTTTTCTTTTTTTGTCTTTCAGGGTGGGATGTACGTCTTTCAGTTATTTGATTCTTATGCAGCCAGTGGCATGTGCCTTCTTTTTGTTGCCATATTTGAATGTGTCTGCATAGGCTGGGTTTACGGTGAGTTGCTGAAAATTGCTGTGGCTTTCAGTTTTTCTGTTTGAATAAAAATAATGTGAAAGCCTTGTACCCTTATGGAGCGGGGCCTTCCACTTTCCATGCCCTACCAAAAGCCAGGAATGCCTTTTTTTCCCCCTCTAAATAACAGAGATAGTGGAATAGATTTTTTAAATTTTGTTTTCCTTTGGTCCTTGTCAGGACTGACCTCCACCTTCCTTCACGAAGGAAGTCCCTAGCTGCCTTAGAAAGCAGGAGTGGCAATAAGTCTTTCTTCTCTCACGAAGCGTCTGTGAAGGACATATTCCCCTCCATTTCTGAGGCTCTCAGATAAATCCAGGGAAGTTGGAGTTCATGCCTCATAAACACTGAAGGGACACAGCAGTGTGCCTTGCTCTGCTGTTTCTGTCTGCCAGCGAAGTCAAGAGAACACCAGCACCGTGCTGGGCTTGGTTGTGGTTACATCCCGTAGCGGTTTGGCTCACAAAGAACCGACAATTTTACTTTGCAAAACAACGTACGAACTTCAGATCACACATGTCGCCAGCTATCTAGGGGTTCACACACGAGTCTGTAGCACATATATAGTCTTTAACTGGGCTTGCTCCGACTCTTACTGACCAGAAGCCATTCCTATGTGACAGCTAGCCAGCTCCTACTCTCTGTTCATGTGGGTCAGATGCAGCTGTAGGCAGCAATCTGCCACAGGTGCCGAGCAGGTGACAGAAAGATGCATGTGTCAGGGAAAGAGACAGCAGCTGCAGTCTTTGGAGCTCTGTCAGAACCTATGTTTTACTCCTTACTGCTTTAAATATTGACCTGTACAACCTCTTACATGCACATTCTAAATCTGCTTTTCATTTTTTTTTTTTGGGGGGGGGGCAGGCAGCAATCGCTTTTATGACAACATCGAAGACATGATTGGTTACAAACCACTGTCATTGATTAAATGGTGCTGGATGGTCTTAACTCCAGGTATTTGTGCAGTAAGTACAGAACATCGAAATAACTTGGTTTAGACATCAAGACAGTTTTCTGTGCAAATTTTTGGAATTTTGCTGCTGCTAATAGTTCACAATGGTTGAGGAAAATGCCTACTGATTTGTAGCATATGTATTAATTAAAAAACACTCCATGGGATCTGTAAAAATTGTTAAATATTCTGTGAATTGTGAGAAAACTTAGTATATACAATATTAGGAAAAAAATAAACTCAGGGCCCTAAATGAACAGTTGCCAGTACAACGGAGGCTTTTTTTTCACTGCACTGCTAGTATACCTTCTGTCTACCCAGCATAACTCCAGCTCTGCCAGACTTGTGCTGGTTTCCTTGCTGCTCCAGTCTCCTCTTTCCTTCCTTCTCTTTGGGTGAGTAGACATTTTTCAAAGAAAACAGGACGTTTTTTCTTCTAGAAAAAGTAGTAGAAGAGGCCAAAAACATGTCGCACATGCATGAAGAATGGGAAGGAATTTGCCTTATCAGAAGCTAGCAGTACTGGTGCCAACTCTGGTGTGCTCTGCTGCAGCTAGGGAACAGGGACAAAATTTCAAAAGGAGCATGACCAGATTGCCCAGGAATTTCATCCACAAGTGCTTGAGGATTTGATCCTAAAGCTTTCCAGTTGTCCAATACTTAAATGATACCAACTGCAAAACCACAGATGCTGGGGCACCTGGAGATCTGGGTTCCCTTGAGCTCTGCCAGTTCATCTGCAAACTTGGGAAAATTTTTGACTCATCTTCACCAACTGTGAAATGAACTTAATATCACTTGCTCTTGTACACTCTTTTCACCACTTTGGAGAAAAGAACACTGTAACTTTTCTATATTTCATAATTTTATATGTTCCAAACTGCTTGATTAGACAACCGTTGAATTCAGACAGATGTGTTTGAGTTTTGATGAGAACGAGAGTTGGGCTGCATAGCTGCAGTTACAGACAGTGGATTAAGGTAACTTTGAAAATTTTGGCTTTCCTTTTTCATCATGGCAGGTTGGAGAGAATGCAGCTTGTGTTACTTAATCACAGCTGGTTCATGGTAGTAAAACTTAATCTTTCCTGCCCAGGTACTGTTTGCCATCAAAGTGCTGGTTTTATTGTCATTGAGAGGTAAATAGGATTTAAACTTGAAAGGTTGATCATTTCTGTGGAAGCCACTGAGACACGTTATTTAAGCTGTATATAAAAGAGAATATTGCTGCTGTTTTTTATTTTTTCTCTGATTGAAACTTTCCATCTTTAGGAAGACTGGTGTTGCCTAAACAGTCAATCATTTTATTGTTACATAGGCAGTGTTTTTTCAAATATCACTAACATGTTTCTCTGCTTATTTCAGGGAATCTTCATCTTTTTCCTGGTGAAATACAAGCCTTTGAAATACAATAATGTATATATATACCCTGACTGGGGCTATGGCATAGGGTGGATGATGGCACTCTCTTCCATGATCTGCATCCCTTTGTGGATCTGCATTAAGCTGTGGAAGACAGAAGGCACTTTCATAGAGGTAAGATATATTTTCAGATTAATGATACCGAAAAAAAGAAGTGCGAAGGGAGTGTGAATCCTCAGCTGCATAAGACTAAGCACAGTTTAATCAAAAAAGCAGTGCCACATACCTGTTCCAGTGGCAGCTTGGGTTAGGCCTTTCAGTCACTGGTGGAAAGAGGCATCTGAATTTTCTCTATTTTCTTCTCAATTTCCTTTTTTTTTTTTTTTTTACCTTCCCTGACTTCAGCCTGTGGTAAACTATCCAATACTAAAGCTTTAAGGTACTCTGTTCTTACTCAATGTATAGCTTAAAATGTCTGTATTATCAGCTAAATCCTTCAAGAAGGTTTGTACCAGCCATTCATTCAGGTCATCTGCCTTCTTTCCACGGTTTTAGTAACTAATATTTGTGCTGCCAGGATTTTCCTCCAGGAGCTGGGGAGCAGACACTCACATATGTCCTCTGGACAGGTTTCCTGATTACTGTTCTCCAAGTGAGAAATAGAGGCAAAAGAAATCTCCAGTGCAATTTACTAGCATTAGGTGTCAGGTTATCTCAGATCTAGGCTGAGGTTAAGATTACTAACTATAAGATTTTTCTCCAAAGAAAGACAGTGAAGATGATTATAATGGAAGAACCAAGAATATCAATCTTATTCAGCCATTTGGGATTTCTCATATTGCAAAAAAACCCTGGTTCTGTCATCTGGAGTTCCTTAGATGCTAGTCAGGAAAAGTAGGTATCCCAGTATTGCCTCCTATCTCAATGCATATATGGAAGGGACTTTATTCAGTCCCTTTCATGCTTTCTCAGTCTTTCTGATATTCGCTAGGACAATGCCAACATGAAGAACAAACCAGAAGGAATTTCTGTGCCTAGGATGCCGGGGGCTCATTAACTTATCTAGCATGCCTGAAAGATCTGTCTCACAGTGTATATCCCCACTTTCAAAATTACCCTCTGCTCAGAATACAAGTGTATGACTTCTGAATATATCTGAGTATATCTCATTGTAACAGTTACTCCTTTTTTGAATGGAGAAGCTAACACACAATTTATTGTGCTGGCTGACGGCAGTCTGTATTGAAATGACTCCCTTAAGCTGATTAAATACGGCCTGGAGACTACCTAGGAGATCTTTACTGCGGGTATATAAACACAAAATGAATTGTCCATAATATCGTTTCCTTAGCATGTCAAAAAAGAAGTTTTGCACAAATCTTAACATTTAATATTTTCTTAATGCATCAACATTACCCAGTCTCTGCAAGTAAATAGACTTTGTTTATAGAATCTTGTTTTGCATTGCCTTGTAGTCTGAAGCACTGCAGACAGGTCATTATCTTTTCCATGCATGAACAATGACGGGTTTTTTAATTACAACTGGGAGCTTCTCAGCAAGCCAGCTTCCTGAAACATCTCTGCTCCCCAGGCTGTAAGCAGCAATGTTGCTACTGATGTTATTTCTATAAAAGAGAAAGTTCTCAGAGGAACATGCAGCTGAATTCTTTTGTTCTTTATTGTAGCTTCCTACACTTTGACAGTCTCATGTTTATTTATTTTTTTCAGTGTATGTCCTTTGACTATATCATGAGAAACAAAATATACCCATATAACAGGCCTTACCCAGAACATTGTGCTGAGTTTCTTCATGGAAGGGAACGCTACTCTAAATCAGCATGAAACATCACTTTGACTTTGTCTTCACCTTCTTTCTCTAGACTTTGGTCTGGTGTGATTTGTGAAGAACTGTGGCATGGAGCTTTATGGATAAACCTATAACAGGGAAACGAGGCAGACATGCAAGAGAAAAGGGTGTTATAGTCAATCTGTTTAAGAAATGTGTGTCTATGACCAAGGAAAAGATAATGCTTTCCATTTTCTCAAATTTTCTAGAAATTCAGGAAGTTGATTACACCTAGCTCAGATCTGAAAATGAGAGGGAAACTTGGAGGAGGAGCCTACATTGCAGCAATAAATGACTGCGATGCCAAACTGAAAGGAGATGGCACCATTTCAACCATTACAGAAAAGGAGACGCATTTCTGAAAGAACTATCTTTTTTGTTTTATTTTTTTGTATGTATAAATAAATAAATAAATAAATTCACTTAATTATAGAGGCTGGCTTGTTTTGCACAGAATTTTATTAACCAGTTAATTTTAAAGTGAAAATTGTATACTTGTTTAAAAGTGATTTTTTTAAATTACTATATAAGTAATGATTATGTAAAAGAAAAAGAAATAGTATTATATGGTATGTTAGTGATGACTTCTTGTAATATGGTGATTTCGTAAATGTTTTTTTTAGAAGTTAGAGGGACCTGTAAAATGTGCTGTAAAACTTTTCTACTTTGATTTCTGGCAGGAGTAATGTTGTATAGATATATGCATTCTAATCTGTAAGCATTTCAGACCATTTCAGCATTTAATGTATGTATATAAAGGGGACCGGAATGTCCTTTTGTTTATATTGGAAGAAATTGTGAGGGGATGGGGGGAATACTTGTAACCGTTGTTGCATATTCCTGTCTAAATGTGGGCTGTGTCCGGAGTCCACTGAAATCAGAGGGAGCCTTCCCAACGGAGGCCAGTGCCTTTTGCACCAGGCTGCGAGCCCTTCTGGCCTTCCACAGGCTAGGCCAGCTGCAAGACCGAGTTTTGCACCCAAAAGGCTCTTCTTTGAGGGCAAGTTTTGTGAAGTCAACAGGAAGCACCACCTCAGCTGCTCTTACCGCCTTCCCTCCACCCTCCATCTGCTCCAACAGGTCTAAAAATGTGGTGGAATGGGCCCACTTCTGAGTCACTGTTTTTTCTGGAGATTGGATAGAAAATATTTCATAAGAGCTATGAATTTTGCTGCTCTTGTAACTCTCTAAAATGATGTGTACTGCTTCAGGAGACCTCTAACTTTTTCAGTTTCTTTAGTGTCTAGGTGGCCGGTACTTAATTTTGTTGACAGTTCCCATCCCCTCAAGTAAAATGTGTTTGTCTATGCTTGTACAAGAGGAGACCAAGGTTACTTTATATACGCGGCGATGTTCTGAGGAAAACAAAAGCATGTTTAGAGCTCTGCATACCTTTGCCTCTCTGTCTGTCTCTTTATCTGTTTGCCAGTCTGGCTGTCTGAACATCTGTTTGTTCCCCTCAAAAGAAACCAAGGATCCTGTAATGACAATCTGTAGCACTACATAGCTTTTCTCATCTTCAAGACACTTTCTAGATACTCTCAGATTAGGCACGGATTCTTCTACCTTGAACAGTATTGAAGCTTGCACTGAAGTCAGAATAAGAGATTATTTGGTGAAAGACTAGAGTAATTCAATCTTAGTTTCTGCAAGAATTCCAGGAGGTAATTTGTAGATGGTGCAGATGAAGGAATTAAGACAGGGATGTTGTGACTTCTCTGTTTTACGACGAGTTTGTGGTATCAGGCCGCTTTATCCTATCAATTGTATGAAGTGACTCCCTCTGATTTAAAACAGATTTTGTATGTGAATCCAACTGATAGATGGTTGTTACCATGAGGTATTCAAATGCTAGTCCCAGTATCAAAATCTCTAGACTATTTCTTGGGTTGTTTTGGGGTTTGTTTTTTTGTTTTTTTTTTGTTTGTTTTTTTTTTTGTTTGTTTGTTTTTTTTTTTGTTCTGCCAATATCCCAAACACTATTACTTGTTCTGGACAGCTATCTATTTTTCTCATCCTGTTCTTTCATTTAATGGTTGTATGAGAAACCTGTGGAGGAATACTGTAATATAGTGCACAGTGTTTGATGGAGAGAGACAAGTAACAGCCTAAGACAGCTCAGAAGAAATGTCATAAAATCTGCTGTCTTCTCTGCAATTCAAAATCACCAAAGCTCAGGTACCAGCAATCTGGAGTTATTAGAAACAGAAGTGGCTGCTGGCCTTCAACAGAGAAAAACATTTCACCAGAAGTCACTAAGTATATCTTAATATTACATAGAATAGTACATGTAGTCAGCATTTCTTTGAGATTTTACGGTTACCTCTTAAAATAGCATTTGCATAGAATTGCTTTGTCTTGAGTCACATCATTAAATCAAATAGATTTATTTAATATTTATCTTATTTGTATTTTTTGTGTGGAAAGGCCATTTTGAAGGAGCCTGCCTTTGTGAAGGTACAGAACTATCACCTTGTGAATGCTGGCCTCCCTCAGAGGGACTCTTCAGCTTGGCATCCAGAACTAGGTGTTACCAATGAAAAAATCACAGTCCTGCTGGAAAATGGTATTGCTGGAAGAGAAATGCTCCCAGAATTGAAACCACATACTGAGTTATATAGAAAAAAGCAATTGATCGCTACATATTGACACTGAAAAAATGCCCACTCCAAACCCCAGAAAGTAACATTTTTGGAATTCCTAATGAGTCATAAATATTTCTACTCCAGTGTCCCTCTCTTGTCTTTCTCTACACCCACCAGAGTTGCAGAACTAAGGTCCCAAAGCCACATATGGGCCTTGGGATGGATTCTGTTCTCTTCCAGAGTAAACGTCAACACATTGTCTTATCAGTGAAGGATGTGCAAATGTAGATGCACTGTTAGGTTACACTTGGGCTTGATTTCTAGTAAGTTATCTTCAGCAATCAGGACTGCTCAGGAGTGTTTACAGTAAAGTGTGCCAGGAGGTAGAACCCACACCACTCAACTGGCCATCCATTAGACACAAAATGAAAATCCCAGACTAGTCAGCATTGCCCTTTGAATCATAATACACACTGCCGTAGCAGAAAAACTTGACTGGTGCATTTTAGCTTGTCGGTGTACTTTGAACTGTTGTACTCATCCAAATATCTCCACAGGAACTATGTACTTTGTGTGGAACATGCTTCCTATTCTGCTGCTATGAACCATTTCACCTGTAGCTTTATACACATACATATGGTTTGGCATGGTCTAAAGTATTATACAGTATTACTAACGTGATGTGCTTGTAAATGTGTGCATTTAATATCTGACTTGTTTAACACTTTACTGATTTTTTTAAAATATATTTTTCTTTTGTGGGGAGGGAAGTGGGAGGGTAAATTTCTTAATAATATTTGTGTTTTGTTTGTTTTTTTTTCAAACAATATGAAGGGGAAAATGCAAAAAACAACTATGTCACCATGAATTTTTTTTTATGCAGTAGAAACAATATTGCCCTTTTCTGAAATATCTGCAGTATTATTAAAAATAATACAATAAAAATGAACAACCACTAAGGTTTATGTAACATTTTACACAAAGAAAGATTCTGTTTGGTTTTGAAGGGCACAAGATTTCATCTACTTACTTGTTTTCAAAAATTAAAGGAAATGGGCAAAACCCATTCTGTGTATTTTAGTTTATATTAATGTATTTTACATGACCCTCACCTAACAAATCAAATAATGACAACTACCCTGTTAGGGCAGATATATGCCCCTTGATTTTAAATGAGGAACTCAGAAACAAGAGAAGATTTAGCAACTTGTTTGAGCTCATCCAGTAAATCTGTGGCTAAAACAAACTGAAGTTTCCGGATCTCACAACTTGATGTCACTGTTCTTTAGTAGAAATCCATGTTGCCATGGGAAAATGCACACCCGCCACCACTTTCCTCCTCCTACCCCACCCCTCCTGACTCCTGGCTGTGTTTGGTTGTGGTCTGCTTTGTGTGGCTGGCAGTGTTGGGAGGGCCATGTAGGGACCCACCTCGGGAACTGGCCTGGCTGAAACTCCACCCAGCAAGAGCCTACAGTTAGGTCTCGGTAACGCCAGCTTGTTGTCTGGCCATACAAATGTTAGTGCTGAAGGTAGACACCACAGGAAAGCGAATTACATCTTCCAGCTGCTATATATGTACTGCTGGATTAAAATAACCTTCTAACCATGGTCTCAGTCCAATGCTCTGTCCCTCTGATGATCTTTTGTACTATGATTTTATGCCTTTATACTCTTCTATGCATCTGGAGTACTGTGTCCAGCTTGAGGGCCCCCAACAGCAGAAGGACACGGAGCTGCTTGAGTGGGGCCAGAGGAGGCCACGAAGATGCTGGGGGGGCTGGAGCAGCTCCCCTGGGAGGCCGGGCTGAGGGATTTGGGGGGGTTCAGCCTGGAGAAGAGAAGGCTCTGGGGAGACCTTCGAGCGGCCTCCCGGGGCTTAAAGGGGGGACAGAAAAGGTGGGGAGGGACTCTGGGTCAGGGGTTGGGGGTAGGATGAGGGGTGACAGTTTTAAACTGACCAAGGGCAGATTTAGGTGAGATCTAAGGCAGAAATTCTTCCCTGTGGGGGGGGTGAGGTGCTGGCCCAGGGTGCCCAGAGCAGCTGTGGCTGCCCCCTCCCTGGAAGGGTTCAAGGCCAGGTTGGACGGGGCTGGGAGCACCCTGGGCTGGGGGAAGGGGGCCCTGCCCGGGGCAGGGGGGTGGGACTAGATGGTCTCTAAGTTCCCTTCCAACCCAAACCAGCCTGTGGTTCTATGATTCTTTCTTATGTCTGTGGCCCATGTACAGGGAAAAAATGCTTGCTTTAGTACATGATGTGCTGATGAAAAATTCTGATATTCTATCCTGAGGCACCCTATTATATAGTAGCCTGCCACAGAGGAAATGAAGCTCTTTTCTTAAAGGCTGTTTCTCATCTTGATTTAATGAAGCATGGCTATAATAAGGAAAATGTGCTATGGATTTTGACAAAGCCTTTCAATTCCTCTCTGACTGTACCAACTACTACCCAGCAGCAAAGAGACCACAGGAATGAGGTGCACTCTTTCCTCAGGGTTGATGTCCTTCCATCTGCAGCAGCAGCACATGGCAGACCTAGGATCCAGCCAGGCAACATTACAAGGTTCTTGGCCGCATCCTGCAACTAAATATTGAGTAAATCTGAACATATTGAGAAATTTTGCCTCAGAGGTTGATGACTCTCCATTCAGAGGAACACCTGAACTTGGTCGTCCAAGAGCAGCACCAAGTCTAGTGAAGAATTCTAAACTCACCAATTTCTACCTAGATCAAAAATGCCCTAGTGGATTATATACTTGCACATTTAGCTGGAAGAAGATGTGAAAATTTGCACAAAGACAAAAATAAAAAGGAGAAAAATGGCTGGGATTCTCTTAAAAAAGGTTTGGAGAAGGCTGAAAAGCTTGAGGAGGCATAATGTACAACTGCTCTGATTCCCCAGATCTGTATGAACACTAAGGAGTGAGTGCCAAGAGTGGAAGACAGTTTCTGGGTCTTCTTTCTAAAGCTACTCTTAAAATATAAACTACTCATTACAATGTAATACAGCAAAAGGGACTAAGATTTGGGTGCTGATTTGAAGTGAGAATTTGAGGGAAGAGTTGCACACCCCTTTTCTTATATACTTCAATTTTAAAAGGATCAGCTCCTTCATCTTCTTTAATCTTTGCTCTCTGACAGCTGCAACCACTCTCAGCCATGACCAGCACTCTCTCAAGTCATCATGAATTCCAGTCACATCCACCTTCTTGTTGGCTGGCCATGCTCACATTGATTGCAGAAAGCTCTTCTTGGGCTTTCAAGCTAATTTTCTGCATCTACCCACCTCAGTTTCCATGATCATCATCTGCGCATCCTGCAAACAGAATAGCCTTGAGCTGTGTTGCTGGTACTGCCAAATCAGAAGCTCAAGTATCACACATTGTCATAAGTAGAAGGAAAAAAAAAAAAAATCTTTGCATGTTCCGAGAAATGTCTTGCCAGCAATTGTTTCTAGTGCTATTACAATACGTGCTAGAAGCCTCAACCAGGCCCCTGTTTCTCAAGAGATGCTACTGCCAGCTGATGGAGATGGTCCTTCTACATCATGATGAGGTCCATGGCTTTTAAAATGAGAGAGTCCTTGCTACCATGGTATTCCAGTTAAACAAGAAGAGAAGCATAAAGGTAGCCACGAGTTCCTTGTTATAAATGGATAGTGACAAAATATTGAGGTGTGCTTTCTGTTTCCATCAGCTTGCTCTTAACACAGTCTGTCAGCTGGCTCCACTATCCATTCCTGGCACTTAGTACAGCACTATGCAAGAGACACAGCAGCTTTTCTGAAATGTTATTGTAAAACATCTTATCAGAAACACTGAGAGCTCTGGCTGATCTCTTTTTATTTAAATGACAACAACCACTTATTTATCATACTATACACAGATGAATCATTCCTCTCCTAATCCCAAAGGGCTAAAAAGTGCCTGCAGTTAAGGCATGCTATGCTCGTGAGAGCAAGCTACAGCTATTCAGGCAGACAGCTCCAGGGCCAATTCTAAGTTTGGTTACAGCCAGCGACATGGCAGTTAGCTGTGCTCTGATCAGCACTGGTGTCAGGGAGCCCTGACACCCACATGCGCAAGTGAGAGATACAGCGGCCAAAGACAGCACAAAGCATGGTAAGGGGACACAGTCAAGACATTGTACTACCTGTGCCTTCACAAGCCTCATGCATTTGGAAAAGGTATTGTGTGGTTTAGTCACACGTGACAGGAGATGTCAGGGTTGATTCTGTGTTTACATCCTTTCCTCTGTGAATCAGCACAACTGGGCTTAGCAGGAGCAGGCTCAGCTGTGTGAGCAGCGGATCAGAAGCGGCTGCAGAGCACCACCTTGCTTTGAGCTCTGCTTAAGTAGGCATGCCAAAGCACTGGCATTTTTTCTAATCAAGCCCTACTCTTAGCTTGCTCCCAAATTAATTTTGAAGAACAAATACATAAACCCCAACAGAAGCATGCCTGCGAATTATTTTGGGCTTTATCACGTTGCTTGGTTTTGGTGTTTTGTTTTGCTGGGTTTTTTTAACTTTTCCAGCAGAAATAATTTTGTTGTCTGTGTTGAAATGCAGGCAAAAATTACAAGCCAGATAATGCAGTACCAGGTCAGTAAGCAGAAATCATGAGAAGAATAGGCTATTAAGATAAGGAAAGGACAAGTAATCTCTATGTTGCCTGCAGGGATGAAAGCATGATGTATTACAACTGCCATTTAAATCAGCTTTTAACTTTTACTTTCCAGATATTATTTCCAGAAAACTAGCCCAGTTTATCTTTAAAAGTCTCCGTTTGCTTGCCAAGCTTTTGCCTTAGACTTCACAGAAAACTTGCTGGGTTCTTGTAGCACAGACTTCTCCACCTCCTCCTCCCCATGCTTTAAGGTCCACTTCTTCTGTAGGCACCACTTTTCTCCTGTACATCTGTGCTTCCTCTTCAGAGCAATTCAGCATAACCTCTGCTTCTGCAGAAGGAGGAGAAAGTGGTGGTGTTGGAGGTGATTAGCTGATTGGATTAATTAAAAGTAGTTAACAGCACATGGTGACCATGACTGGGGAAGAAAAGGAAAGTGATGTAAGAGAAGGTAGGGAGAAGTTGCCTTAGGAAAGAAGTGGGTGAGGGGTGTTTTGGGGTGGTGGTGTGCATGGCTGTTGGAACCCGTATCATGAATGCGGTGACTGTGACCTGTTTTGCCTTCCTCAAGCACCCAACAGTTAGGAGTTGTGAAGTGAGGGGTGGGTGACAGAGGTTTGTTTCAACTAGTTTTCTGGCACTGTAGCTCCTGGAGTTAGTCTCTGTTTTTTTCAAATACTTTTGGATTGTGTTTGAGGCCTTTGTGTGTGCTGTGATCTGAACTGGCAAAACTGTTGTAGTATTCAAACTAACAGAATGTGCAGGTTGTTCCTCAATTATTCCCAGCCTTGCCAAACTCAACTTCCACAAGATCCTGTATTATCTATCCCACACATGTACAGTTTAAATCGTAAGCCTTCTCTTTGTATTGTAGTGCTGTTGCTAGTTAAAAAATCCTAATTATTTAGATCTTTCAAGTAAGATGGTTTAAAATTCTTTGGAGTTAAAGGATTTTTTTTTTCAGAAAATGTTCTCAAAACCTTGTGTGTTCTCGTTGGGAACTGTAACACCTAGTCTGATGTAGTCCTATGGCACATCACTAGCCTGTACAGACTTAGATGTCCTTTGAGGTGGTATATCAAGGTAGGGTAAACACAAGCTTTTAACTATTCAGCTGGAGGAGTTTAATGGACATGTATTTTGTAGAGTTTGGGGGTTTTGTATGAAAATATCAAATGTTATAATAGTTCTGTTTTGGGAAATAATATGCAGGTAGGATGGAGTTGAAGACGCATCATTGAGTAAACTGAGTATATTTGGTGCTGCATCTCAGGTTGGTTATTGAATAAAAGCTGCTGTAGTAACTTCATGGATTGATAGAACTGTCTGAGGAATATTTCAACTCTGAAGCTAGTGGCCTTTGCACGCTGGAATGCTGCTTTCTTGCAGCAGCTACCATTCTTCATTTACGTGCAATCAGCTGAAACAGAGAGACTGTTTCTTCTAATTAAGACAGAAATAATGAATGAAATCTCTGACTTAAAAATTAGATTTCCTCCAGCTGAAACTTCCATTTCAGAACTGAAATGGGAGAAAAGAGCTTATGCTAGTTGCAGTCTCTCCACTGTGCTATGAGATGTAGAGGAGTCCCGGAGGTATCAGACAACAGCAGCCCCCTTGGCTGTTGGGTGCTACAGATACCTTTTAACAGCATTTCTGTGGTGCAGTGGGGACACCTTTTGGTTAGAATCAGTCTAAACCTGATTAACCTGTGGGTTTGTATATAAAAACCGTCTGCATTCCCGCAGCAAGCAAACAGAGGTCAATTCTATCATTAGCTTTTCCTAGTTCCTTATATGTACTTGACACGCACCATTTCAGGTCATTAGATTTGCAAGTTCTCTCTGCAGTTGCAGCCTGTTTTCATGCAGTTCTGAGTCTTTTCATTGAAAGACACGGTTTCTGTATCATTAGGTGGCAGCACATGCCAACATAAAATCACTTTGTCCCCATAGCTCAGCAACTAAATCGGGGGACATGGAATCAAGAGAGGTTTCTTCAGACCCTAATCGTCATGCAAATAATGCATTTGTAGTCTCTACAGAGGACCTATAGGAATATTTATTGTTTATTAAAACCCCCTAGAAGTTCATGTTGAAGCTGCCATTGTGACGTTAGACTTCTCAGTGAGACTGCAATGGTATAGATGTTTAAAATAATGGGAAAAAAATAATTGGTATAAGGAAAAGTGGCAACCCACAACATATCCTGTGGAAAAGAGAATGCAGATCTGCACAGTAATATTTTTTTGTCAGTGATTGAGAGGCATTACCACCATATGAAAACTATTTTCTTAAACAGTTGTTGTAGTATTCTCAAGAGAAAAAAAAATCATGCCATTTTCTTTGGAGCAGAATTAAATTGTAATTTCCATGTGAAATACAGAAGACAAAGAAAATAAGGGTGTCATACTTTGCATTGAACAGACAAATATCAAACAAGGAATCAACTTACCATAAAACAGGCAGTGAAAGGTAGTGATGGGGCTTTTTAAAAAATATATGAGGAAATATTACCAGTGTGATCACTCAAGTGTTTATGTTCTTATCTGATCAGAGAGATGGTTTAGATCATAACGTAGCTAACCCTCATCTGAGTTTTGATGAGTAATCCTCATAATTAATTTTATCTTCTCAAGCCACAATGAACAGGTATTTGTAAATATTATTGCAATTAAATACATAGCAATAAGCTGTGAAAGTAGGTTCCGCAGCTACATTGTGAGAGCGATGAGCTATCTGGTACTTTCTTATTGGTCTTCTCGGAAGGCAGCTCTCCCAGGAATGCTACTAGAGGTGGCTAGCTTGTACAGCTCTGCATGCCTAAAATGCAAGTGTCAACTGGAAATGTTAACTAGTGCTAGCTGTTGCAGAGATGATTTTTTCCTCTTTCCCAACACCTCTGCTGTCAAATAGTCAAAACCACTACGTGTAGAGACAACATAATTATTTGTAGTCCTCAAAAATTATCATATTTGTACGTAGCATAGAATAGATGGAATTAGTTGTATCTTACATGCGCGTAGTTTTACCACAAAGCAACTTCTGAGTTCAGGATTGCCTGTATCTGTAGACACTCATGGATGTTGATGTCTTTACCAGTTCACCAACATTGCAGGACCACAGTTTTCTTGTTAGTAGTTGAAACAAGTGAATTTTAGGCTGTATCAACCAAGCCGTAAGGGAACTATCTTCTTGTCCTGCATCCAGCATTGTTACATCGCAGCTAGCAATATTTTTAATGTGATCATTCATTTAATTTGGATTTTCTTCAAGTTGTTATATTCCTAAATGTAATAAAATAAGTTAGAGTAACTTCAGGCCTTTGGGAAGACTTGTAGAAAACTGTTATGGATCAGTGGATCTGACATGAACTACATTTCATTTAAAAATAAACAAACAACACCAACAACAAACCCCTCACCCCAAAAAAGTCCAAGCAGCCAGTTCAGCCAGTGAAACCACTTTCATTCCAAGGTCAGACTTCCACATGAATTAGATGGATGGATCTGTTGCTCAGATCTAGTTACTTCAACCTTGAAAGTCAAATTCAAATTTGACTTTTTTTAGTCCTCACATTATTCTTTCTCTGTCTGAATCCTGTCAAATATTCCTGAAGAACATCACAGAATGTACAGTCTTCCATGCATACCACTAAAATGTCCCCACTGTCAGCCAATCCTCAACCACTACCATGGATCTTAGAGGCTTCATTGAGTGTCTGGGAATTAGAGAATTACTAGTTGAAGCAAACCTCCCACCTCCTATTAAATTAGAAGAGGGAATAATTAGTACCTGTAGCCACAGTTTTGTATACAGATGTGAGGTGATGAGATGTACTCGATTTTCAGTAGGAAGAGGAAAATTGGAACAAGGTGCAGATATGTATTTGTGTGTGCATGTGTATGCATATAAAGTAAGGCCTTCAATATGTCTACCTACTCTTTGTGAACAGACCTGAAAAGTATCTGTCTGAGAGGGAAAAGTCACCTGAGATTGGGCAGGACATCGTTACAAAAAACGTCAAGCAAGGAACAATTCGCATTGAAGCTTCAACTGAGAGACCACAGAGGTTATAGTGGGAGATTTCACATTAGAACAGTTGTGCAACTGGACCTGTAGTGATCTGTCAAGCTCCTTCAGCTCTAAATTATGAGAGTTCTTTGAAACAGGTGATTAAAAACTGAGTTTGGACCCTCGGGGTTTACCCTAGGGATTCTGTGATACTTTAAAGTAGCTGTGTTGCTGAACTTAAGTTTCTGCCAATATCAGTTAAAACTGTTCTGCTTTCTCAGTTCTGTCCCTGCCCCCCTCCCCTCATTGTTAATGCCTCCAGGTTTAATCTTGGATCGGAGCCCTGAGCATCTTCAAATAATCTGAATTGTTTTGCCACCTCTGACTAGGATTTTTTCTTTCAGACATAAATAAATATGTATGCCTTACAAATTTCACATGAAAAGGTAATTACAGTGCAGTTCTGAATGAAGAGCCTGATTTGCAGTCGTGAGGATGCCTTCCTTCCATTACTGCTAATACACAACTGTAAGAGATGGTGACTATTTAAAGCTCCAAATTTACCCTGCCTTCTCCTGACAAGCTTGCACATTGATTCTGACATGCAGTCTGACAGCTTCATGGCATTTTGGAATGTTTCAACTGCACTAAGTATGTGGTACTATTTATTTTAGTACCCCCATTCCCACAGCAGCCACTGACTCACAAGAAAAAGCTAAGAGCAATATTTGGCATTTGTTTCTTGCGCAGTATAATTTCCCTGGTTCATTAACCTTCTTTATATAGATGTAAATTCTGAGTCTGACATGGTTATTTTGGGGTCGCATGTCAAAACTAGATTTGTCTGTCTGAGCAACATTTGCTTCTGAAAATGTTTAGAATTCCTTCAGCAACTTTGTCTTTTAAAGCAAATTTTGTATTGTATGTTAAGCTATGTTTATGTTGTACGTTCAAATCTCTAGCACCATTAAACTGTCAGAAGAAAAGCGGGAGGCAAAGGAGAGTGTATTAAGTACCAGCTGTGTGACATTATCCTGTACCTGTTTTACCAGAAATAGTTTCTTTCTGCTTATTCAACACAGAATTACTGCGGACTGAGGGAGGCTGAACGTAAATTCTGCTGTCACTTGTAAATGGACTGGACTGGTTTTAGACATGCAAGCATATATAAAGGGGAGAGGTTAATATTCTTGTAATTATAGGGAAGAGGCTCTAATATGTCTATACTTTTGTGTATGTAAAGCAAAATATGGTGGCAACTAAATTAAGTCCCCATTTCTGCTACAGATTCCTTGTGTGATGGTGGTATACACAGTGCTGCTTTTCCTGTCGCAGTAAGAAAATCTGCATACAAAACTTAACTATTGTGAAACTGTTGCATGCTGTGCAGTACTTTACGTAGGATATACCGAGACTTCTTTTAATTCATATAAAAAGATATTTTTTTTTAAGGCCTGCATGCTTAAGGCATGATGCAGTTTATGAATGTGCTGAAAGCCCGGGTGTTTCCTACTAAGTTATTGGTAGTGTAGAAGTCTGCCCATTAGCATTCTAGCACAAAAGCTTGACTTTGATTCGATTTATGATTTTTTTTGTAAGAATTAAGATATTGGTCTACAGCTAGAGTCTGCAACTGATCTCCCATCCTGTGAGTTATGCATCAGATGTTATGAATAAAACGAATGCCAAGAAAAATGAGATGTGAACACCTGTGAATAAGTCATGAATAATAAATTAACTGAGAAACTATCAGTAATGAGCTTATTCATTGAAACCAATTTGCTTGGTAACACGTTAATAAGCATAACTTTTTTGTCTTTTCAAACACACTTTCTACTTCCTCTCCTCTGTTAGCCATGTTTACCAGAAGAAAGGAAACGCTGCACTCCAGGACTTCTGCAAAACTCACAGCACAAAGACCTCACTCTTTGCTGGGTGAAAAACTGAATGGATGTCCAGGCCCAAAGAGTTGGCCGTGGCCAGTCACAGGTGGTGTTCCCCAGGGCTCAGTATCAGGACCAGTTCTGTTTAATATCTTTATCAGTGATCTGGACGAGAGGCTCGAGTGCACCCTTAGTAAGTCCACAGACACCACCAAGCTGGGCAGGAGTGTGGACCTGCTGGAGGCTAGGAAGGCTCTACAGAGGGATGTGGACAGGCTGGAGCGATGGGCCAAGGCCACCTGAATGAGGTTCAGCAAGGCTCAGCGCCGGGGCCTGCACTTGGCTCACAAGAGCCCCGTGCAATGCTACAGGCTTGGGGCAGCGTGGCTGGAAAGCTGCCTGGTGGGAAAGGACCTGGGGGTGCTGGTCGACAGCCCCATGAATAGGAGCCGGCGGTGTGCCCAGGTGGCCAAGGAGGCCAAGGGCATCCTGGCTTGTACCAGCAATAGTGGGGCCAGCAGGATTTGGGAAGTGACCGACCCCCTGTACTCGGCACTGGTGAGGCTGCACCTCGAATACCGTGTTCAGTTCTGGGCCCCTCACTACAAGAAAGACCTTGAGGTGCTGGAGTGTGTCCAGAGAAGGGAAACGGAGCTGGTGAAGGGTCTGGAGCACAAGTGCTGTGAGGAGCGGCTGAGGGGGCTGGGGGTGTTTAGCCTGGGGAAAAGGAGGCTGAGGGGAGACCTTATCACTCTCTACAAGGACCCAAAAGGAGGTTGTAGTGAGGTGGGTGTCTGTCTGTTCTCCCAGGGGACAAGGGATAGGATGAGAGGAAACGGCCTCAGGTTGTGCCAGGGGAGGTTTAGATTGGATATTAGGAACAATTGAATCAACAAAAAGGTTGTTAAGCACTGGAACAGGCTGTGAAGGGAAGGGGTTGAGTCATCATCCCTGGAGGTATTTAAAAGATGTGTAGACAGGGAGCTTAGGGACATGGTTTAGCGGTGGACTTGGCAGTGCTAGGTTAATGCTTGGACTCTATCTTAAGGGTCTTTTCCAACCTAAATGATTATACGATGGTTCTATCAGGCACCAATATATTTTCTACATTTTTGTGTCCCTGCCCATACAGGGGGATTAGAACTAGATGATCTTTAAAGTGCCTTCTAACCCAAACCATTCTGTGATTCTATGATTCTTCCCTCCAATGTGCCAAGAACAGTGTGTGGGATACAAACTCTGTCTCTCCACTCCAGTGGCTTCTTTCTTGGAAAAGTCAATGCACAGAACGTGCAACTTTCCTCTTGCCTGTACGCCCATTTGGCCTAGGGCTCACCTTATGCACACTTTTCTTCTCTTCCCCACAGATGAAATTGCATTATGAATTAAATCCTCAGTGACCTCACTCTCAGTAGCACCATACAGTTCAGCAGATGTATCAATCCTCTGCTATGGTAGACTGAGTCTCCAGCTGCTGCCAAGGTGCAATTGGATTTGTTGCATCTCATTTTCTATCATGACCTTAAAACTGGCCCCTTGCTCAAAGTATAGGACTCACTTTGGTTTCCCTAGCTGCCTGGCAAAAATGTTTTCAAATCATTTGTAGACCAAGCTAAGAGGAAAATGTCCCCCATAATCTTAAGAAGAACGTAGTTTTCTCTGTGATTTCATACCTTCTAAATGGGAGACGTTAGTTACAAAGATCAGAGAAGTTGGCAATATATGAAATAGGAACATGGGATCACCTCTGCCAGTTTTCCATACTGACCCAGATACTCCCTGCCTGTCCTTTATGTTGTTTGGACCACCACTTTACACTGAGGGTATGGACTCATATGGAAGTATACCCTCCGTATCAATGCAAAATTTGTTTCAAATAAAAAATATTTGGTTCTGCCATCCTGCTGTACAGAAGGATGTTTTAACTATGATCTAATGTTGAAATTGGTTGAGAGATTGAGCATTTTTGTTCATATATGCTAAATAAAACAATGAATAAATCTTAAAGATAAGCATGAAGAAGTAGGCTGTAGTACATGTTATAATTCTTATTGGAATGGCAAAACGTGTCCAAGTTGGTCCAATGCCTCCTTTCCAGCATGTGAATTCTACCTCAGATTTGAGTCTTTCATATTTTTAGTGTGCCCTGTGTGCAGAAGGGCAAAGATGACTTTGAACTGGCTTTGTGTCTCCCTGCTAGTTTTTTGACCAGTAAATAATGAATCTAGGTGGGCTTTCTCTACTGCTCAAAATGTGATGGCTGCCTTCTACTGTTAAAAATTTAGCTTGGCCTACAATCATCAGCATTTTTTTCTTGTGACATTGAACCCTTCTTCAAGTCTACCCCCTGATTTGCTCTGTTAGGTTCTTTTTTTGCAGGACTTGAGAAGAGATGTGTATATGGATCTGTTTATGAGGTTTTAATGCCTTTTATGTCAGAACAGCTGGATTAAAAAAGATGTGTCAGGAGAGAGAATGTTTTCTCAGGTTTTACTTCTGACGTTCCCGGCAGAATATCTAGTTATTTCATAAATGCATACATTTAGGAATTTTTTTAAATGATTGTCTTTGACTGGTCTTTAGAACCAACAAGCTGGGATTTTCAGAAGTGGGTACTAGATCCATACTCTTCAGAAGTTTCAGGTGTCCATAAATTCCATAACAAAGTGGAGTGTTCTGCTTTTCTCAACACTAGCAGGTCATTTATATAGATATGTTAAAATCAATTTGCGTATCCTACTTCAGGCAACACAGTCTGAAGGCTTCAGCTGATGCATTTCCTTCTAATGTCTCAATTACCTGATCATGCAAAGAAGCATTTTAAAAGCTGGTAGGACACAGGGTTTTATCTGCTATAAGCTGCCACGAGCAAGAAATACTTATATGCCACTGGATGTCACTCTAACAAAGCTCAAACTGCTTTGTCAGTATAAATCTTTACACTTCCATTATAAAACAGCAGGCAGCCTGTTAAACTCTGGATTCCTTGGCAAAAAGAGGGCAAAATATTATCAAAGGTGCCGTATTAGCTGTCCCATGAAGAAGCCATTGACATCTGAAGTGTTACATCAGGCAAAAGACAACTAGGTTTCATTTTTTTTTCAGGAAACCGTTAGGAATAATAAATCAACATTGAATCTATCATCCTGAATCTTTCAGGATTTCTCCTCTAGAACTTTACTTTGTTTCACGGGTTGTTTGGGGCTTAGAAGCAAGGCAAATGTCAACTCCATTTTTCTTTCCTGTGTTCATACATGTTTGAGAAGTTCATTGGAGAGCATGGAAGCTGAGTGTTCAAAAATCAGTAGAATCTAACCCTCTCTTCAATTTTCCATTTTCAGAGTGACAAGAGGTAGTAGGACAGTAATCTGTAAAAGGATAATTTAGCTCAGGACTGGGAATGCTGCCATTATGAGCTCCATATATAAAATGTCTCAGCAGAGAAGGGACTAGTCTGAGGACAGAACAGTAAATAATAGGGTTAAGTTGCTGCACGGATAGCTTGTCACAAATTAGCAAAAGCTATAAATTGAGTGTGGGTGTTCTTAATAGAGATACATAGATCCTCTCAAGATGCGAGGGAGGGTAGAGAGGCACTAAAGTACGCCAGTAGAGAACCTCCAATGCTGAAAGACTGTAAGAATAAGTTACATAATATGTTTTAAATTATACAGGTATAGCTGATCCTTTCTTGAGGTGCAGTGACATCCTGGTCTCTGCTGAACACATTTGTTATGATTTACCACCCTTTACATTCTGGTTAACCTGCATAAAACACTGGCAACGATCACTTTCACACAGATTGGACTAGTTCTCCCTACCTCTTTCACCTAAGCAGGAGCAAAGTAGCTGTATTCCACCATCCTTTTCTTCTTGGTATTAAAAAGGAAACCTAAAGCGTTTTCACAGAGGCTGCAGCCACTGCTTAAAATTTAAATAGACTTACTAATTTCTCCTAAAATATCTCTAATACCAAATACAGATAGCTAGAAAATCCAGCAAGTACTACTAAAATATCTACTTGCCATAGCAAGCTGGGTAATTTTCATGTGTCATACAATAGAAGAGATTATCAGGGCATTGTACAAAATTTTAATTACATAATTAGTTGACTGAGTCATACAACTTTTTCTCCTTTAGCTTGAGCCCTACTATAGATGGTTTTGGCATGTAACAAACTATTTCCTGGTATAGCTTTATCTGGATTGTTGTTCCTCATGAACTTTGATACCAGCAGAAATCTCAGAAGGGCCATCCTAGAAATTGTACTTTGGGGCTCTTTTTGAAGAGGTGACACAAAATGAGGTCATGGTGAGATTTGCATTGGTGATGTAAGCTAGATTCACCTATACTGCTAAAATGCAATGGGATGATTCTTTTTTGTCATTAATGACCTGCAGTTGACTTAGTGGCTACAACTGAAAAGCTCTGAATTCCATTACCCAGCTCATCTCTGAAATCAATGAATGTTTCCCTGATGACACATAAATAGCTCAACCCTTTCAATAAGTGTCAGGAAGGGGCCTTCATTTTCCCCATGTGCCTCTTTATCGTTAATTTAAATGGGTAGAAAAATAGAGTCCTCAGACACTTCCAGGTTTCCAAAACCTCATTAATTCAGAATGCAAGACACAGGCAGACAGACCTCTGTCCCCAGGCAAAACCCCCAACTTGTATCTCTCCCCATTTCATGGGTGATGGCTGCTATTGAAGATGGGACTTACATGCTATTCTGAAAATATTGCCACTGAGATTTAATATTATTTCTGATTACTGAGAATCTGTCACCTCATGGCCATGAGATGCCCCTTAAAGAAGCAATATGGATTGATGTGGTAGTCTCTGCAAAAACACCATTTACATCCATTTAGGAGGACTGGATATCTTAGGCTCAGATTTAGGTTTGCAAGTGAATGTGCTAAGAAGAGAACGCTGAGAACAGAGCAAGATCCACATGTCACAGTCGTGTGAATCAGAGCAGAAAAGCGTTTTGTGACTTTTATGTGGTATCACCTTCTGCGCCAGGTGGGGAGACATTCAACTGATTAACCTGGAAAGAATGAAAGGCTGCTGGCAAACTCCTCTGAAAGGAGTCAAATATCAGTGATGCTTTTTTCAGGGTTCTACGATACTCTCTTCGAAACACTTAGCTGCTGGGAGTTGGGGGTAATGGTTATGGTGGTAAATACAAGTTCTTGTGAGGCAGTAGTGACACAGTACATGACATTTTTTGCAGTGGATCCTTGATTGTCTCAACACCACAGAGGTGTCCTGTTTTATTCACTAAATAACATTGGCCTCATTTAGTCATGAACGTATTAGTACCTTGCCTTGCTTTGGCAGCTTCCTCCCCAGGGCATTAAAAAGGTTCTGTCTTTCTTTTACTGCACCTCATCATAGTTTGATTAAAACAGTAATAAAAATAAAATAAAAATTAATTTGTAACAGGTAGTTGTGGTCTATTTCAAGGTATTTTGGTTACTTTCCTGATTAGAAACTTGATTATATCAGCTGATTGTTGTTGCATTTAACTGCAAGCATTACAAGCCACAGCTGGCTCAAACTAATGGTCATGAATGTCATTAACAAGTTACCTGCCTGAAGCAGTAATGAAAGTCCTTACTAGCAGTCCTTTTAGGAAAGGGATCAATTGTTTGCATTATTATGCCATTCTTGCCATGTAAAATTTTAAAGGGTATGGATTGTTCTTTATGGGGCATAGCTCTGGTTAAAGTCGTAATATTGCAAGAGAAACCCTAAAGAGACCATCTGAACTTTGGTCTCCTCATGCCTAGTCTGTGCATGTGACACAATCTGCTACATCCATTAGGTTAGAAAATTGCTCTATCGCTAGTATAAATACAAACCTTGGTTCTACAGAACAGAAAAACAGGTCTATGCTAATGCTCAACCTGACTTGTTCCTTAAAACAATATTTATAAGTTTGGGGTTTTTGCGACTTGTCCAGCTCATCTTCA